TTGCGACATATTTTCTGTAAACATATTAATAATTTCATTTATAATCGGGCTGCGGTCCTGTTAAACTCCGCGCGCGCTAAGTCTATTTATGATTAAGAAAGTAGAAGCAATGAATATGAGTGATGGAAAAAACTACACACAGGCGGATATAAAAAAGCTTAAATATGGTTCGTAGATATAATACAAAATATTAAACAAATCACAAAATTGGAAATAAATAAAACGTATTTTCTATCACGCGCGTTCGCTATGGGACCTATAGTGTAGGGGGTTAGGTGCACGGAAAGTGCTAGATAGTACAACATCGTGATGTTATTTTCATAGTGCAACGCTGGAGCGTTGCGTTGCGTGACGTACGCACAGGAAGTGCTAGTCGCGTTCCATCACTCTATTTTTTTGAATACCAAGGTATATAGATAGCCCTCTGTAGACACGAATTCTCTGATATTTGATTTTCCTTGATATCTCAAATAGTTGAGAAATTTCACTTCAAAACTTTCTGATGCTAGAATTTTGAGTTTTACGACGTACTTTTTAAAACCATTTGAGATGTCGAGAAACATGGAACACCACAGAATTGGTATTTAAAAGAGCTATTCAACGAGGTGTCACTCCTTACACCTTGCTCTTGAAAAATAATATTCCTAGGTATAGTTTACAATAAAATTTATCCATGTTTTAATTTTTTTCCAATTGTTCATTTGCTAAATGTCGATTTGATGCCAGTACTAAGGAAGTGAAAACAATTGTCAGTCGTTTGCGTTTGACAATTAAATTGAAACTCAAAATACCAGGCGTCACAAGGCCTTTAAAGGGCAGTTTCTCAAAAGTACAAAGAAAAATTTGCAATAAAAATTGTTTACACATTTTTAATAGCCTGTATAAAGCGGTTTTATTAAGAATACGTAACACGGAGAAATACCTTGCTCATAAAAGGCAAAAGAAAAATTATTTTAAAATCAAATTCTCTACCATCTATTTTAGTTTGGCAGGTTATTTTTTATTTTTAAATTTTGTCGACAGTTCTGTTTGGAAATCCGAAGCTGATATTTTTTTTCCTGTCTTCTAATTTCACTGTCCAGCCTTTTAGTAAAAAGAAAACAACTACATATTTATTTAGATCTCGCTCTCTCAAAAGGAAAATTTCGCAATAGAAACACTCTATAATTACGTGAAACCAGAGTATTAATTTACTTCAATCGCATTTAATTCTATTCCACTTCCTCCTCGGCATCTAGATCCCTGTTAATCTAGTAGGCGTGTGCTAATAATGTCTGCGAGATTACACGCTGATATGAACGCAAACGCCTCGGCGACCAATAATAACCAAGTTACTGATGCAATTTTACTACCTGTGTGCACAGAAGACGTAGTATCTGCACTCAAATTTGCATAAGCAGTACGTTATTAAGGCTGTCACTTGTGCATATTATTAGCCGGAGGCGCAATTATTTAGTTTCGTTTCTAGGGGGAGGGGCGGTGCTGGGAGAGGGACGTTTTTAACGCTTGCGGTTCAAGGGAATTCGAAAGACAAATGCTACTTGATTGTATTTGAAAAAATATATTAATTTATTCTGCTTGGAGTACGTATTTATGGATTTTAATCCGATAATGACTGTAATAATTGGATAATGCGATAAAAAACATAATTTATTTTATTTCATAACCTTGTCTATAACTTCCTTTTGCTTTTGTAAAAGAATTATAGTTTTGTTTGCTATTATGAGGCAATAGTCTCTGCCCCTCATTCTAACTATAATGACTAGTCCAGGAGTCAAAATTTTACATGAAGGGGTGTATGATTTATTAATTACTATTGTTAGTTAGTTACACAGAGGTCTGTCCATCTATGTAACAACACAAATAATTACAGTATTTGAAAAAAAATATTAGAACTATACGTTGTTAAAAAATTTGACATACTGTATATTATACAGCGTGTCCCGCTTTAATGTCCGGAAGAGGGAAAAGGTTTTTATTTGTGGGTTTAAGACGAAAAGTCACTCTTTGTAAAAACTCCTGCTTGTTCCAAAACGGTCAAAACTGTTAAAATATTTGTAATTTTTTATACAAGATGTCATTTAGGGGATTAAAAATTTGAGGTTCCACTAATAGAAGAGTTTAAAATGACGGATGCTGTGGCTACAACAATCAAATAAATAATGTTTACTATCTTCTGTCAAAGTCACTTCGTGATTAATGAGGTAATATTTTATTTGAGATTACAATGCTCACTCTCGAACAAAAAGTATTGATAGCTCAGTGCTATGGTTTGGGTGAAAAAATATCATTCGCGGCAGTTCAAAGAATTTAATGAGAAATGGTCTGACATAATAGTGACAGATAAGATTATAAAACGGATTGTACAAAAATTTAAAAACCCTGGTTCTGTATTAAAAAAGAAAAGGGTAACATCGGTTAACGAAGAAGAAAATGTTGTAGAATTAGTGATGCAATCAATAAGAAATGCCCCAAAGACATGTTTAAGAAAAAGAGCTTCAGAAATTGGAAACGTTAGTAAGTCTCGTTTACAAAGATTGTTAAAAAAAAATAAAACACATCCTTATAAACCAAAGTTTGTTCATACGCTAGAAGAAGGGGATGATTCTAAAAGGTTGGAATTTTTTATGGGTGGGTGAGCACCATCTCGAAAACAGAAATTTTTCCCACTATACTATTTTTTCGGATGAGGTGACTTTTTCCACGTATGGAATAGTTAGCTCTCAAAAGAGATGTAGATGCTGAGCTTCGGAAAATCCTAATTTTCGGATTAATTGTTAAAAGTTAACGTTTGGTGTGCCGTTTCTTATTTTGGAATAGTTGGACCCTATTTTATAGAAGGAAACTTGAACCCGCATTCTTATTTGCAGTTACTAAGTACGTTATTCTTAAACTACCTAAACGATATGCCATTAGCACACCGAGAGAGAGCTTATTTTCAACAAGATGGTCATCCACCTCATTCTACAATTATGGTTAGAGAATGGTTGTACCAACATTTTAAAGGACGATTAGGTCCTGTTCCATGGACTCCTAGAAGTCCTGATCTGACAATATTGGACTTTTATTTGTGGGACAATCTAAAACAAAAAGTTTATGCTAAACCGCTAGGTAATAACTTAAAAAAAAAACAGAATAAGAGAAACAATTGCTAATATTCCTCTATATGAAATACGAAATGTCTATAGAGAATTTATTAGAAGAGCTGAAATTTGTGCAGAAATGAGAGGCAATAAATTTGAGACAATTTATTTTTGTAAATTTAAATTACATTATTCCTTGTTTATGTAAATTTTCATATTATTAGCAATAAATTGACTTAATAAAAATAAAATTAAATAAATTGATAATTGCATAAATTTTGCAAATATCAAATAAAGTAGTACATACATATTAGCTGCCGGCATTATTAAAAAAAATTGTTTTTTAATTTTAATCCCCTGTGGATCTTAAATCACATCCCTGATAATATTTTTCGATATTGTCAAAAATAACGGCACTTTACTCTTGGCGATTAACAATATTTTTCTAAATACTCAACACCCTGTATAAAAAAGACAAATATTTTAACAGTTTTGACCGTTTTGGAACAAGCAGGAGTTTTTATAAAGAGTGACTTTTCGTCGTAAACCCACAAATAAAAAACTTTTTCCTCTCCCGGACATTACAGCGGGACACGCTGTATATTATTTTCAAGTTCGATTTCAATATACCTTTAAAAATTGAGTAAATTTTCATCAGTTATTGATCATCGAGAGTATACTGAACATTTGTAGACAGAAGTTTTTTTGTCGCGTAAAAAAATCATCTATAGAATTTTCTCTGTGGGGAAAATCTACCACTATCGACTTCTGCACCCTTTAGGGTTAGGAACAACACTGCCAATATCTAAAACATGCTGGGACATTGCAATAAAGGATTTAGTGAGTGATGAACATCTATTAGGATAATAGTTACCGCATAGAAATGTCAAAAAGGTTTAAGGTAACGACCTCTAGCAGATGTTCAAAAACTAATAACATGTATTAGCGTATTAACGTATTTAGCACACTTTTATTTGTACTGAATAGCATTTTATTACATGGCTTTTTTCAGAAATTATGCGGCTCTTTGAAAAAATCATTTTTTAGGTCCTATATCTCAAAAACAAGAAGTTCGCAGTCCCATAACACATCTTTATAGTTATTAATGTTCTATCAACCCCTGAACTTATAGTACCTTTTTCCAAAACACCCTGTTTACTATAACCCAAAAGGTAGTATGGTGGTGAATATATTTGACTTAAAATTTTATCTTCGTGAGTATACCACCTTAGAAATTATTTTACCCAATTTTATTTTACCCCATATGAAAGTTCTGATTTTTCTCAACAAATTTTATTTAAAACAAAATTTTCGGTATCTCTTTCCGATTGAAAGATATAAATGATATGTATAGAAAAAACACTGGTTTGATTATCAACTTTTTGATTTTAAATACATAAAGTAGGAAAGATAACTAAAATATGTTAGTAATGAATATACACGTTGAAAGTGTCTTATTTTCCAAGGCAACGTTGATAATGCCAGTATAGACTTGATCTACTAGTGTTTAATTTCCAATACGATTAGATCCAATACGATCTAATATAATTCAATACATATGATCTCATACCGAAGAAAGAGAGAAGAGGAAAACTTTTTTAATGAAAGCTGCTGAGAAAAATTGAACTTTCATAAGATATGACACTAAAATACCTATGAAAGTGGGAACATATTTTCGACAACGTCACATGCCACAAAGATCCCCGCCTTGCAATTTCCTATTTCATCTTTCCGTTTTCCTGTGACTAACCATCCGATTTGCGTCAAAGTGTGCAATGCTTATACTGCGAACACTTTATAGAAATATTCTGAATGTTAAGGGAAACTGCTTCCTTTACGTAATATAATCTAATCGAATCATTACCATGAATACCTATAACAATTTCAAGAAAGAACTCATATAAATGTTCCACTTACTTGTGTCCCATCTCATGTGCAATCGTATGGGCAGAAGTTATACCATTATCTTCATTAACACTGCAGCTTCTGCTGGCCCTACACATACCCCCGATATGAGCCACCCCCAGTGTTCCGCATGGGGTGTCTTGCCGGGCGCAAATGTCCTTACGCGTGATGAGAATGGCAGCGTCGTGATGATGCGGGTGGGAGTCATCACTAGGGTTGAGGGGAATTTGCCACTTGCAGAAGTTTTTCAAAGTGGTATCCGCGTTGGTAGTGACGTTTAGGCCAGGTTCAGCGAACTGGTCGTCCAGGAGGATGATTTTTACGACGACTACCTGGACGCTATTGCCGATGCTAGGATCTAGGTAGAATGAAGACACCTACAAAGTTTGATCCTTAGTACCCGTAACAGAAATCATACTGTTTATAGATAAAGTTTTCAAATGTTTCATTATCAAGAACTTTGTTTTGATAGCTTTGATAATGATCTTTTAGTGTTTGTAAAACATACATTGAGAATCTTCCTTTAATAATATTTCTATTAGAGTTTTAAAGACAAGCAATGTCATATTTTACATAACTTACCATATTCATCAGTGTCAAAATGTACGTTTCAATATCTCCGTCTTCATGAAATTCGACCATGCTGGAATCTGCCACGATCAATGTTTCTACAAAGTGTTCTTTACTAATGGATCGCTTAGGTTTTACTTTCTTGTATTTCAGTCTTTTCAAATCAGACTGCTTCAATTTAGATATCTTTATTTTGTCTTTGTGTTTGTGTATCTTTTCTTGCACCTTCAATTTGCCCAGTTCAGATTGCCACTCTAATCTGTAATAATACTTGATATATTTTTAAAAATGTTAAAATATCTGACAGAGTGAACTATGAAATTTCTTTTATTCCCTCCATTGAAAAATAGTTTTTTCATTTTGAAAATCAATGTTATATAATTAAACACAGTTGTATTCAATTTCCTAGTCTTTTTGTACTTACAGTGTCATCCTCTTGGGTTCTCTTGTGCCGCAATTTGACTGTTTTCTTCTTTTCTTTTTTCGCTTCTTTTTGGGGTAACTCGATATCACCGCCGATCTCTTATATACCAAGTGTTTATGACCTGGTGTAACCGTTTTTAACGGATGATGGGCCGGTTCTATGTAATATTTACCACGTTTTGAATGTATCATGCCACTCTGTAAAATAAGAGGTAAAGTAAGAAATTCTATGAAAACAAGAAATTTATTATGATCAAAGTATGTATCTCATTCTCACCAAAAGTATTCTCTATATCAAATATATGATTACAATGAATATAAATATAAAACCTATTTAAAATATACAGGGTGTTCAGAATTGCAAACGTAAAATTTTATTTGGTGATAGAATACCTCAAAATAGGAAAAAGAAGTTTGTACAAACGTAAGTCGTAAAACGCTTCGTTTTCGAAATACAAAGGGCTGAAATATTAAAAAGCGCATCTTAAAATGGTTGATGTAGATTGGTAAAACTTGGGATAATGACAACTAATTATGGGCAAAAATTTGTCAGATATTCACCAATATTCAATCGCGAAAAGCCTTATCTATTAACCTGTGGCGAAGATGCTGGTAGATACTGTCTCCAAAAATCCGAAAAATTCTTACGTCACTGAATATTTTAGAAATTTGGATGTGTATTCAATTCCCGCTGGTGTTTTTTTAAACTACAATTTTATTAAAAAACGACATATTTTTCAAATTATTACTTTAAATTTAAAATAAACTTTCTATACAGGGTGTCCGGAAATACCGTTCGAATAATTCTAGGGGTGATTCTACATGTTAAACTATGAAGTAAAGTTCATATGAACATAGGTCCGCAAATGCGTCATAAGGTTGCTATGGCGATTCAAAGATTGCACCGGGATATAGGTTTTATTTTATATCTCTGGAACCGTTTCAGATAGCCATCTGAATTTTGGCATATGAATTGCCTTTAATAGTAGATACTTTACAGTGTTTTTACTAAATTATTATTTTAATCAGGGGCGTACCGACAGGGGAGGCCTCGATTTAATTTGTTCACATTTTTATTAAACGTCATATTTTTGCAGTTTTCTTTAGAAATTCTGATTCCGCGGTATAAATGACATAAAAAAGGTATTCTTGTAGAAAACCTGTCAGGTATTGTTAAATAGTGATAAAAAAGAAACGGTAAATGGAAAACAGATTTATAATTAAAAAAAAAAAAGGGAACAATACAGAAACAAATAATACTAGTGACTTATTATTAAACCTGAATGTTACTTCTTTAGTTACAGCAAGTGTTGGAAGTGATGTCCATTCATTTCAATGCAACTGGCTAAACGATTTCTCATTGAACGTTTAACTCGTTGAAAAACACCTTGCATATTCCGTATTTCTTGGCAACAATGAATGACTCTTTGTTCCAGTTGTTGTACACTGTCAACAGGCACTGAATAAACTAAGTGTTTTAAATAACCCCATAGAAAATAGTCTAACGGATTAAGATCCGGCGAACGGGGAGGCCAAGCTACGGGTCCACCTCGTCCAATCCACCGATCTGGATAAGTCTGATTTAGATATTGTCGAACTAATAAACTGAAGTGGGCTGGAGCCCCATCGTGCATAAAAAATGTTTCTAATCTTAATCCATAAGGCAAATCTTCGAGCAAAACTGGTAAAGTGTTTTGTAGAAAATGTAAGTATGCGGGCCCATCTAAACGATGCGGCATAACATATGGTCCTAGTAACCTATTTCCTATAATACCTGCCCAAACATTAATGGAAAACTTATCTTGGAATCGAGCTTCGAAAATCGCGTGAGGATTTTCATCTGACCAAATATGATTGTTATGAAAATTTACCACTCCTTCACGCGTAAATCCTGCCTCGTCTGTAAACAAGACTTTATCGAGGAAATGACGGTCCTGATGGCATTTCATCTGCATCCACTGACAAAACTCCACTCTAGGCAAAAAATCCCGAGGTTTTAGCGCTTGAATTCTTTGCAAATGGTATGGATACAAAAGTTCCTCGTGTAAAATTTCCCATACAACACTTTTGGGAATATTCGTTTGTACTGAAATTCTTCTGGTGCTACTACCTGGATTAGCTTCAATCTGTTGTAGAACAATTTCCTCTGTCTGCGCCGTTCGGGTAGTACGGTTTCGTCCACAATCTCTCTTATTTGGCGTAAAATTACCAGTTTCTCTTAATCTCTGATGTAAACTGCTGAACAGTTTATCAGAAGGAAGCTGGCGATTTGGAAAAGTTTCTTGGTACAACCTCCGAGCTTCCAAAGCACAACCGTTTGCTTTGCCATACATGAAGTGCATGTCGGCCATTTCAGCAAAAGAGTATTCCGGCATTTTTTGAAAGACGAGAACAATGATTTTTTTCAATTACACTGTTATTAACACAATAATAATCGAATAAACTTTATTTTTAAACCTTATGTCAAATTCGTTTACCGTAACTACAGTAATTTGACCTTTTTCCATTTTCAACTTAGCACCGACATAAGCCTACTTTGATGTAGAAATTTTTATTATTGGGCGACCATGCATGCACTATTTTCTTTGGAGAGTATTTTCTCGAAAACGGCTAGCCTGACAGGTTTTCTACAAGAATACCTTTTTTATGTCATTTATACCGCGGAATCAGAATTTCTAAAGAAAACTGCAAAAATATGACGTTTAATAAAAATGTGAACAAATTAAATCGAAGCCTTCCCTGTCGGTACGCCCCTGATTAAAATAATAATTTAGTAAAAACACTGAAAAGTACCTACTATTAAAGGCAATTCATATGCCAAAATTCAGATGGCTATCTGAAACGGTTCCAGAGATATAAAATAAAACCTATATCCCTGTGCAATCTTTGAATCGCCATAGCAACCTTATGACGCATTTGCGGACCTATGTTCATATGAACTTTTCTTCATAGTTTAACATGTAGAATCACCCCTAGAATTATTCGAACGGTATTTCCGGATACCCTGTATAGTTCAACATGTCGAAATTAACTTCAAAATTCTCTGTTTCATAAAAAAAATATATGATTTATTTCTTAAAAAGTAAATTTTAAATTCAGGGTAATTATGAAAAACGCAAAAAAATTATTGACGTATAAGCTTTTATTCTGAAGGACAACTCTTATTAAAAATTTATATGCCAACCATTTCTTTGGGTTTCTCATAATTAGCTTAAAACTAATTTTTATTAGGTGAATTCATTTTATATACAGGGTGGTTCAAAAGTACCGGATTGGCAGGATTAGGGTGGCCCAAAAAACCGAATATTTTTTTTTCGTGTCTCTTGTTAAAATATCCTAGTTTATCATGTTTTAAGAGTCCCCTCAAAAAATCAACAAGAAAAAATTTTTTTAGAGGTCGCTCGAATTTTTAAAAATTTCCAAAATCTTTAAAAATAAAACAAAATTCTCGTTATTTTATCATTTTCTAGGTTGAAAAAAATCTCGATTCTGAAAATTTCAAATCAATACTTTAATTTCTAAAGGTCACTCATAATTATTTTATAACTAAGTAGTGTACCTATGTTATCGAGCGACCTCTAAAAATAAATATCAACGAACTAATAATGTTTTCTTATTGAATTTGATGAACAAAAGAATAGAAATAAATCACACTTAAATTTTAAAAAATTAAAAAATTATAAATATTTGATACTCACAGTGCGGGGTAGTAAATTTTGTCTTGAGAAATTTTTTAAGTGTCTTGTGATTTATTTATATTCTTTTGTTCATTAAATCCAATAAAAAACATTATTAGTTCGTTGATATTTATTTTTAGAGGACGCTTGAAAGCATTTTAGGTACACTACTTTTAAAGTTTAAATAATTATGAGTGACCTTTAGAAATTCGATATCGATTTGAAATTTTTAGAATCGAGATTTTTTTCGAACTAGAAAATGATAAAATAATGAGAAAAAAAATAAAAAAAAACAATTAATTTTTAACGATTTTAGAAATTTTTAAAAATCGAGCGACCTCTAAACAATTTTTTTTTTGAGCTGATTTTTTGAGGCGGCTTTAAAAGCATGATAAACTTTTTTTGGGCCATCCTGCCAGGATGTATGGGAATATTCAAGGGGCAGGGTAAAAGTAAAGTACTAGGGCTGTAGGATTTTTCCCTGTCTATCCGATGGTGACCTTGAATTTAACCTGGACCATGACCTTCAGGGTCATATCAACGTCACGAATTTATTTGTAAATGGGACCCCATAATTTTAACCTTTCAAAATGGAAAGAGCGGAAAATTTTGCATTCGGATATGACCTTGGAATGACCATTAAGGTCAAGATCAAGGTCAAATATCAAAGACAATGGAAGGTCATTGTTGGTTAATAGTGATCGCCGAAGGTAACATATTCTGGGTTAGTCAATATACGGCCACTCAAGGCAACAATTGGTCACTGTTGGTCATTAGTGGTCAGCAAAGGTAAAAGCCGGTGATTGAATATCAACAGTGGTCACCGAGGGTAATAGACGGTCTTGGGTGGCCAATAGTAGTCCTCGATGGTAACGGAATAACTAACTTGACCTTGAAATGATCGGAAGATAAGGAATTTGAGGTCAGGGCGGGGAAAATCCAAGGTCACCGGTTTAGTGCTCATTAAGAATTCTAGAACTATTGTGGAGAACATATTTCCTGGCGGTTATTCTGCCATTCCGGTACTGATGAGCCACTTTGGGGCTTTTTGATATTTGACCTTGATGTTGACCTTCGTAGTCATTTCCAGGTCATATCCGAACGTAAAATTTTCCGCTCTCTATTTCCGGGGTCAAAATTATGAGGTCCCATTAAAAAAAAATTCATGACCTTGAAGGTCATGGTTTAGGTCAAATTCACGGTCACCATCGGAATACCCCTTGAATATTCCCAGATATCCTGCCATTCCGGTACTTTAGACTACCCTGTATATTGGTCTTATAGATATATTTGTTCAACTTATTACGATGATCCAGCTGCTAATCCACAGACTACTACAATTTTTTGTTAGGGACTTTTTTTTATTAAGAATATGGCAACGTGGCGTTCTTCAGCATCACTTAATACTCCTGTGGCCCAAATTTCATCAATTTTTGTCGAACATTAATTTTTTGTAGAGCCTCGAAAGATTTATTTATCGAATTTGTGTTTCCGTTAAAAAATGGAGAAAGCATTGGAAATTATTATTAATGTAGTTACTTGACAAATAAAAGTATTAACGTTAAAATAATAGCTAATAACTTTTTTTTCAACAAATTACTATAGAATTGGAAGTTTCAAATATTCGAAAGTAAACAGATAAAAACAACTTAAATATTAGATATCTCCACAAGCGCTCCATATACCAGAATATATTTTTCATATTGCCTCAAAAAATTTTTCTCGACTTCTCTAAGTTGACTCTGGCTGATTTCAGAACATGCTTCACTTATTCGAACCTGGAAGTCTTTTGCTGTTTGGGGATGGTACTTATATATTGAATTTTTAACCATAGCCCACAAGAAAAAGTCCAGTGGAGTCACGTGTGGGGCCCTAGGTGGCCATCCTATAATTCGAACGCTCAATAGACATCGAAATTTTCAAAATTTTTCCCAGATTTCAGAAACTGTACACGCACCGTAAAAAAATTGAGTAAACATATTATCTTGTTGAAATAATATTATTCATTGAGTAATGTTCCCTCAAGATAAATAAATTATATATATTGTAATATTGAATACCTTTTGTGTTGGCTTACTAAACTATGTATGTACATACAGTCCGTACGATATTTGTTGAGATAAAAGATCCCTGCATTACTTTCTCGGAATTAACCGCAGCAGAAAGACATTGGCGGTAAATTTCAGGGCACGCCTCTGCCGCGGTAAATTGTTACAGATAACATAACTTTATTGGGTTATCCTTTTCTTAGAATTCTATCTCAACAAGTATTGTAGGTATACCACAAATAATAACAAACGGTAAAAAACAGCATGGTGTAACTTCAAGGTTTATGGACGAAATTATTTTGGTGTTGAGTATTGAGTTAATTTAAGATTTTAATAACGAAATAAGCTTATGAACACAATTTTTAGTTAGAGGAACTAAAATATGTGAGAACAGGAAAAATTGTTTAAAAATCACTTCATTCGTTATTAATATTACACATTTCTGACTAGGAAGAACACAAAGTTGTGCAAAAATACATATCGAAACGCAGTTTGAATTTTATTCTCACATATTTTAGTTCTTCTAACTAAAAATTATGTTGATACGCTCATTTCTTCGTTAACATCTTAGGTTCACTAATTTCACTCATAAATAGCATTGAATTTACACTGTTTTTTTCCCTTACCAGTCCGTTGCACGCCGACATCGCCACCCTGGAATTCGGCTGGCCATCCACCACTCCTTGGAAGTGACACTTGCTGGACTCCCTCTTAACCCTTGCGCGACTATGCGCGTCTGTTTTTCGCCTTTCCACCACCGCAGAGGGCGCTACGAACCCACTTGAAGGCCGCAGCGCCAATAAGTGGTGCACACCCTCTATAGAGACGTTGAAGTGCACGCTATTGTCGCCGTTTTCGTGGAAAGTCGTCAGATCATGAGAGATGTGTTCGCCCCGTGCTGACACTTTCCTGGGGATTGTCTCGTAAGCCTCGGATAAGCGGTGTGTGTAGAGACCTGGAAAGAGGACAAAGCAGCGTTAAATATTGATACCAGATACTCGGAGGAATTTTACATATTTTTTGCAGCGATAGAAGGGTTTATAAGGATTTTACGTCCTACCATAAGTAATTAAATAAATTAGGCGGACTGAGAGTTAGTTAAACATTGTAAATAAAGATTCCCGTATATTACTGTAATTCAAGTGAATAACTAGAAAACTTTTCTATCAAATTATGATTCAATTTTTTAGAATAAAGAAACCTTTACAAAAGTATTCCAAATGCACTTTATCTCAAAAAAATAGGAGCATCTTGTGACTGTTGCGAAAACTTATTAATAAACTTATTTATGTCCTAAACAGGCATGTTGCCTATTTATACAGGGCGTGGCGTGTATAATCTATAAAAATTAAACTACAGCTTCCTAACGATATTTGTAATAGAAAAGTCTTATCCGAAAAAGTTCAATTTTTGCGTTTTTTTGTAAATTAAAGTTCATTTATTCAATGAAAATGAAGGCCGACCCTGTGTTATTTATTAAAAACTTTGGAAATGTTTTTATGCGACCCGAGATGCAACCTCATGATTTAAGTCGGTATAATCTAATACTAGTAATAAATAAAAGATTGTACAGTCAACTGATTTTGTATTTGTATTCAATTAATTATTCACTTAATTATTAAATATTAAGCATCGTCCATCGACCCATCAGTGTTAAAAAGTGAAAGATTCCAGACAATGAACCGAGAAAACAATGTCATTTACTATTTCCGAATGTGTCGATATGGTGTTAGTGTATGGTGCATCCGGATAAAATGCGCTCGCGGAGACTAAGTTGTACCAGGAACGATGGCCACAACATCGCCCCCCATGTGCAAATACAATCCTATAGTGCGTTCAGCGGCTGCGAGATACGGGAAGTGTTATTCCTCGAGGAGAAGGACTTGGTCAGCAAGTGAACCTTAATGTTGAAAATGCAGTGTTGGAAAATCTTGACGAAGACCCCACAATTAGTACTCGACGACTCGCACAGCAAGTAGGAACCTCGGCTCGTACCGTACATCGCATCTTAAGGCACCAGCAGTTGGACCCCTATCATCTGCAACCAGTTCAACAGATTTTACCCCCGAATTGTAATCAACGAATGCGTTTTTGCAGATGGTTTTTACGACAATGTGCAACTCAAGTAGACTTTCCTGCTTATGCTTGTGTAACAGATGAGGCGACATTTACCCGTAATGAAGTGAATTTCCATAACATGCACATATGGACCAATGAAAATCTAGGGAAACTCATTTTCAACATCGATTCTCGGTAATTGTTTGGGCTGGCATAATAGGCAATGTACTTGTCGGTCCCTATTTCTTTGAAGGACGACTAAATGGACCAACATATGCTGACTTTTTGGAGAACCTGTTGCCTGAATTATTGGATGATGTGGCAGTACTCGAAAAGTAACGATACTTTTGAATTAAATGTTTCCCAGAGATGGATTAGACGCTTTGGTCCTGTGCCGTGGCCACCTCGGTCACCTGATCTAATTCCAATGAACTTTTATTTTTGGAGTCACTTGAAGTCATTGGTTTACAATACTCCAATTGCTACGGTGGAAGAATTGCGAAACCGTAGCTGACAGAAATTGGGGAATACCAGGAATTTGGCAAAATATTTCCCAAAATTGGGTGCATCGGTGCCCATGCCTGTATCTGCGCAAATGGGGATCAATTTCAACATTTTCTCTAGAAATTGTAAGTGTTATTTCATTTTGTTCCATATTTTAATGAAGTTTGTTTAGTGCACGCAGTTGGCAACTACAGATGCTTACGGATGTGGTTTTGTTTGCGAACTCTTGCAGTAACAACAATGCATTTAAGACAGTTATTTCTATTAATTATTATAAGAAAATATCATTTTTTTAAAATATCTATTTTTCTTAGTTTGTGCAATGAAAAATTCCCCAAAAATTGAGAAGTATCTTTCAATCTTTCAAAGACGATTTGTTTACGTGGCTAGTCTACAGCACGTAACTCATCTTACATCACACGGACAGGACAGTTCCAGAGAACATATTTTGTCCATAATTGAAAAAAAAATACGCAAAAATAGAACTTTTTCGAATAAGACTTTTAGATTTAATATCAATATAACTGGGGAACAAGTTGTAGTTATTGGAGTTGGGTATTTCTAGAAGGAACATTAAATTGAAACAAAGCCAAGAAATTCACGTACCAGATCATTTAATAGTATTTTACGTTACAAGTCCGGTAGGTGACTTATTACATTACGAGTTGTTTTACGGACGAGGCGACGTAGGAGCCGAGTCCGGAATAAAAACGAGTACTGTAATAACACCTAACGGCCGTGTATCGTATGATATTTTATTTCATACTGTCTTTCTATTTTTAACGAGCAGAAATTTCTATTTTTTCCTTAAAATTATCAAATTTTAGTTTGACATCTCTTGATTTGTCATTTCTATTTTTTCCTTAAATCAAATTTTTGTTTGACATCGCTTGATCTGTCATTTTATAATATTGTTTGACATGTCTAATATCACGTTGCTAGGCAACATTTACCGGCTCTGATACTGTAATAGCTCACTTACCGGCCGCAAATGAATCCGGGAAATAGCAATATACCGGACAGTATGAAATAAAATTGTATAACCGAATGTTAATGTTGCTTAGCATGTCTGTTAAGTAATCTATTTATTCCAGACTGAAAACATAGATCTCTCTACGAACAAAGTGATTAGGTTTAAGTACATATACCTTTTTTGCATTCTCCCTACATTATTTATAACAATAAATGACCGAGGCCTTACCAAAGCGTAACACAGTTCAATAACTGAATTATACAACAACTAATTATATTGTAGTTTGTTATATTATAGTTTGTTTCCACTAAATTCTAGTATCATGCAGCCTTAACATCAAATTCTAACAAATCACAATAATTTACATCTACAAATAGAATATATCTAAAATAACTTTAGTAGATCGTTAATAAACTAAAGAAACATGATCGGTCCCAAGCTTTATTTTCATTTGAAATGATTATATTTTATTTAGAATGTTCTAATTTGCAACTAAGAAATAAGTTGTTTTAATAAAACATCGAGTGTCTTTTGAAAATTGGTGTAAATCTTGCGTTTCATAAAAAAGGTTAACAGAAATAGAACGTTTGGGATTAAAACCTTGTCGAATGTCATTAAAACGCGAGGTGTGCTCAAAAACTTTAACATGTGCTGATAATACTGCAACTGGACTACAATTACTATCATTTGATTTACCATCAGATTTATTAATCGAAGTTATTAATGACCATTTATTAGGAAATATATTATTTTTTAAAGCAACATTTAAATCGTTTTTATTTTATTTTATTTTATTTTAAATTTACACCATCCTGCAGTCACATGACCAATTACAGGACGGGAGTACAGGTATTACAAATGTATAAATATAAATATCTCGAAAAATAAGCATTCTACGAAAATGTCCACACTCAAAATTTAATCATCAGTGTTAAAACTTGTTAGGGCGGGGGGGCTAACTTTGAAATCTCAAATAGGACCCCTACTTTTTATTGTAGATTTGGGTTTTACAAACAAAAGTACATAGGATTCGTGCATTCGATTCATGATAGATGGCGCTGTAATCGACGACTCATTTTTTTTCGATTTTTTATACTGGGTATACATATGTGTACGATTCTGCAATGCGTTTGCAATAAAAAATATAATGTATATAAATACTCGAAATTCCCGTTCAAAAAAGTCTATTCATTTTGCAAATTTCGAATATTTGGAAAATTGTTACCTGAAGAAATGTAAATGGCTGGTAAATTAACTACTATAGTAGTGTAGTTTTATGTTCCCTCCGGGGTGCTTGATTAAAGTGAGTCGTTTCTTATAGTTATTCCTTTCTTTGTACGTTTATTTTGTTCTTTTGTCGTTACAAAGACACGAAGAAAGAAATAACACAAAAGTTAAATATAAACATTATTTTTAACAAAATAAAAGGTACTTTTAACACAGAATACAAAAAATATATTCATACCTAAAATAGGCAGGCTATGGTTTTAAAGTATTTTCTAACGATTTTAGGTACGTCAATATAAAACATATTGATTATTACATTATCACTCTTTATTGCAGAGGTCTAATCCACTGAGCTAAATCATAAATTTAAAAAGTTGTATATTTTTATAACCCTCATCACCTTGCGTATGCCAATGTTTGTAATTGTAATTACTGGTATATTCAATAAGAATTAATAGTTCAATTTTAGTATGAGTAATGTATTATGAAGCTTTTGTAAATTTTCGAGTTTTTGAATTTAAGAAAATTGTCAGTTTCAGAGCTCTGTCTACTTAGGAGGGTATCTTGAAGCATTCATTTCCACAATGGGTCTAAACTTTAGTAGATCATTTGTGCTCACCTGTGAAACAAAAATTGAACTTATATTTAAATTTACGAGTAATTATTGCCATTTCAAAATAAAGTACAAATTAAATGACTTGTTCTCTTACAATTAGTGTAATTTCACGGAGTGGACATGTTTTTTACATTCTGCGTTTCCGTTTGTTTGAAATTAAATTCACACGTAGTGTACAACTTTTTTAGAAAAAAATATGCAGCTTCTACCAGGGTGTATTAGAAAGTGAATTACAATTTACTGTTGTATGTACCCGTTGCTATAATCAATGAGAACTGCTGACTTTACAATCAATTGTACATTCTATGAAACTATTTATAAAATAAATAAATTTCTACAGTTTGTATTATTGAAATTTTCATCCCGGAACATATGCTTGTTCCTAGAAAACTATTACATTATTATTGACCTTGTTTGATTAAAATGTTCTACAGGATGTTTCTAACATTTATTGGGATTGGTTGCATTTGACAGTAATTTAAATTTGTATATGTGTATTAAGAAACTATTTATTTGGGTAGGAATTTTTCTAAAACTATTAAATATACTCCTGTTCTGGTAGTTTCATTCAAGAGTCGGTTTATATAGAACAATTTATTTCTGCTTAATCCAAGATTTCGCGCTAAAAAAGACACAGAAGAAATAGGTACACATAATCTTTGTTAATATCTTAATTTCCTTAAATCTATTGTTGATTCGACAGATTCAACAACTTAGCAGTCTTTATGAGTAGCTTGTGGTATTCGCAACACGTAACAGTAGTTAGTATGGTGCTCGATGCATGCAAGAGACTTCGACGTTAGATTACAACGGGAGCAGTAGTAGAAGCGACGGATATTGTGAATAATTATAAATTTATACAGAAATGCTTTAAAATACAACTATTTTAGTCTCTAGTCTCCTTATATGTGAGTTTTCTCTTAGTTACTTGTTTTTAACGCGATATTCACTCCTTTGAATAAACATTTTTATTAAATCGAAACCAAATATTCGTAGTAGTGGTTGTAGTGGTTTTGGTTAGTTATCCATCATTTATTCTTAAATCTTTGTTCTGAAGGTCCTTAAAGGATCCATAGACATATTTATTACAAGCAACTTTGTTAATGTATAGGGAGAATATCACAAAATCTGAAATTTACTGATTTTTTTTACTACTACTTTGTTTATTCTTACTGTGAAGTAGTTGACTTGTTTGTTTTCTCAGTACCTAGAGAGTTCTTCAACATTTTGATTGTTATTTGTGACTATGACATATGCTGAATTTATTTTGTACTTTTTTAGCTGACTTTTACTGCATACGTATATAAACCTTTTATTTCCTTTTCTCCATTCCTTAAGCTTTCTTTTCATATTATGGCTTGTTCAATCATGATCATTTTGCAAGGTTTCTTACACCTTCACTTTCACTTCCTAAAACTAGATACTTCTGAGCCTATTTTCTATTTTCTCACACAAATACTTTATTACGGTTATTTTACATACCTAATTCTTTATAAATATTTCTCCAAATTCTTCTCTAATAAGTTTTGTTGTTGTATGGGTTTGCCGTTGTTTTTTTAATTATGTTTTTGCAATTAATTTCCAATTACAAATGAAAAATCAATTGAAGATATTTTAAATGGAAATGATGGTTATTCACAAACATGTTTGACATTTTAAAAAGTTTCAGGTATCGAAAGTTCAGCTAAATAATTTTACTAAATTCTGCAGTTCGAATCATATTAAAGTTTATGCTGTGTTCAAAAATAGTATTTGTGTGCTTAAACTCACTTCTGGACAAGTATTTCCGATTTTTCATACAAAGTAAATAGTTTTTTATATTTCCACATCTGCCAAATATTTTTCTTTCAATTTCTTGTGACGCAAATTTATTTATGTAATTGTTTTAATTTCAGGTCTATTGCGCTCAGTCCTTTCAGCAAGTGGTTTTGCCCCTTTTACAAAGATCAAAAGCTTTCTTGCCGATACTTCTCTCAGCCCTTGGGTTCCATAAAGAGTTTTCCCAGGAGCGTCATCCTACTACGTACAAATCCTGGACACTCACCCAGGATATGTAGAGAAGTATCCTCGGCCGAATCACATCCTCGGCAAACCGGACTGCCTACCAGCTTTAGCTTCTACAGATGTTTCCTAAAGTGTCCCGTTATAAGTCCCGTCACTATCCTGAGCCTTATTTAACTCAGCAACTCATTAGTTTTATTCTGCAAAAGACAATCCATAATTTATTCGCATCGCTTTGCCCTGGCCTTGAAGCCCAGTATTTTCTGTGTTTCTGTGTCCATTTTTATCTGAAAATCGATGTTCCGACTACATGACTTTGGTTCCTGCGACTTTCCGCTTTCGTTTTTTTTTAATGAGTTGCAATGTCCTTACCTATAGGTATACGCTATATTGCTTCTACACCACAAATTGTTTAATATATTATTTATTTTATAAGTATTTCTAAACGCACCTACCTTAATTTGTCTTAATGTAATATGACACAGTGTGTTACTGGTTGATATAAATAAGGTTTTCTTAAGAAATGTATGGTGGGACTGCGCCTAGAGGCGTGCCTAGTTTCAGACGTTGAATGATTTCAGTAATTCCTGGATATAATATGAGTAAATATATTTCTTTTACGGTGACAACAAACATAAGAATCTAGTATATTAAGAGCACCTACCATAATTCCTGTATAATCACGATCTTGTATTATAGAAAAAATAATTTTCATGGCAGAATATCTAATTCGCGGAAAAAAATTTAATATGTTGTTCAGTAATACTGTAGTTAATGTTCAAATAGTTCTTTTTTCCACTATTACATATTTTATGTCCTATATAGCTTAACATCCAGTATGTGAGTCTGCCAAGTATTTCAAAACAGAATAATTTCAGTGGTTTACCAAGAATGCGAGAGATTTCAATGCCAGGTCAGTACAGGAACGCGATTATTATGTGGTTTTCAGTTATTTCATCATTAATGGAATGTTATACTGAAGCTAAGCGGACAGGTACACATCAGATAGTTTTATGGAATGAGATGACCATTACAGATGTTTAATTTATGAGAAGGGTAATTGCAAGTGATTCATAAAATGCTTCAATGAAATTGTTCTTAACAAATTGCGACCGTCTTATAAGTTCAAATAATCCAACCATATTAAAGTAGGCATACAACTTGATCACTCAATATTGATAATTTACTTATTTATGATATCTTAATTAAAACTGAGTACTTTCACTTAAATATAGGCACCCACTAAATAAATTCTGCAGATAAACTCGTATTTGGTGCACTTGTAGCTAAATCGAAATAAATGTCGCCATTATTGAGTGACCTCATCCCATCCTATGGTTGTCGTGCGTTGTCTTTGTCTATTCCCATCGTCCCCGTTAGGTTAGGCGTGGTGTATGGCATGTAGTACTGGACAAGTTTCCGTTAATACGGTTATTTTAGTGAAAATTATGTTCAAATGTAGTGGTTTGATTACAATAATTAAAAACAATAATATGTTGAGTCTCGATTAATATTTGGTTAAATAAACGGATAGTTAAATTGTTACCTATACTTACTTACAAATCTGTAATGTACAATATAGGTTATGTCAATCTACTCGTCCGATCAGTTAACCAATTTCTTTAATCGAGACTTAAAATAATGTCTCTAACACAGATCTGTGTAGAAACCACTTTGGCAGCTTATTAGTTTATAACTTTAATACAACGATATTTAAATTAAAATTTAAAGATAATATAAAATAGTGCAAAACCACTCCAGATGTTAATGAAATGAAAGCAGCGGCAGCTGGTGCGGAGGGGCACTGGGGCGCCGCCCCTAGGACATTTTGTGAATGAATTCGAGGGATTTCTTTTTTGCAGTGTAGTAGGACGACTAGATAGAGTGTTGCGGGCATAGTTGTGTAACTTGAGGGGTTATTTCTTTATCTATCTATCTACCGCTATGACCAGTATCATAACGGTATTAACTGACAAAAGAGTTTACTATTAACTTCTCGAAAGGGAGTTTATAATTATCATTATACTTTAATTAATACGTGGGAACTTAGAAATGTCGTACGTTCAGAGAATGCATTCCGGACACTTACCGACGCATTATGTATCATTTTTGTTTGTTTGTATAAAAATCAAATATCTTGACTCAGAGAGTAGATAAAATAATGAGCCTGGTTGCAAATGGAAGCTGAATGGATGTAGAATATGGGAAAAATATCGAATGACTAGGCAAAGTCTATGCAACCCAAAAATTTTATGGATTTTTCTAATTCCTAATTCTCTTAAAATTTATCTATAAGTCACTGCTTATCTTCTACAGTGTGTTTATTTGACATTTATTTGTAAAATAAAAAACAGAAACCCAGGTTGATAATTAATCTTTAATTTGTGAATAATTTTCTTGCTTAACAGTGTCAAAAAGCTTGAAAATAATACCGACTTTGGAGAGACTTTGCTAGCGTTAGAAAAATGATAGAAAATTTTTGACACCAGATTTGGAATTGCCGTGCCAAATTGTGCAAAATCGTGTGCATTGGAATAAATTTTAAGATAATTAGGACCGACATAATTAGAAAAATCCATAAAATTTTTGGGTTGCATAGACTTTGCCTAGTCATTCGGAGGTCATAGAAAAAAATCGTCTCAGTCATATTTTTTCCATATTCTACATCCATTCAGCTTTCATTCGCAACCAGGCTCATATTTTTATCTATTCTCTGAGTCAAGATACTTGATTTTTGTACAAACAAAAAAAAATGATACATAGTGCGACGTCGCTCATGTACAAGGTAATCCAGTAGTTGGTTGTATAGGGTGACACTTAACTTGGAAGAACAAGAAAACCCCAAAACTTTCCAGGAAGGGTTTTAATAACAATAAAACAAAACAAATAAACAAAATAACGACACAACGGGCTCGAAAAACATTATTAATTACTTTATTGACACGCGACAGCGTACCGAGATTCAGGGAATGCGCGATACATAGCAAAATTTGGAATGCCTTTATCCATTATTAAATTAACCCTATACTCTAAAATTAAGTAGACTGTCAGAGCCACCATACTCTAGGTGAATATTTTTTGGAAAAAGAATCTGAGCAGGCAGAAAAAAGAGATCAGTCAGTGTCAAATAAATAAGTTTTTCGTTTGCATTTTACTTTTGAAAAAGATTCTAATACACCTAAAGAATAAAGATTTATTCAAGATCTTGCGACTTTATTTGGAAAAAACCGAACCGTATGCTTAGGGTAAAACGGGTAGTTTTATCACGAAGCAATTGACATTTTTGGCGACCGTGACAGGACAGGGAGTTTTAAGTGAAAACAAGTCGTTTTTGTGGATGTACTGGGTGTAGTAGAAGCATATAGACGATCACTGGACAAACTTTTATCGCTTTTGGTTTTGGTAATAGTGTGGTTTGACAAAGTTTGCAGTGAAAAATGGAGCAAAAGAAGAAACATCGGAAAGTGCTTCGCACTACTTTTACTAAATCGGCAAAAGAATTAGATGAGTTATTATCGACGCCGGAAGGTGACCTACGACTCATCAAGGTATCAATAGATATTCTGCGACAAAAATTCGAAGATTTAAAACAAGTTGACAACGAAATCTACAATCTTCTATTAGATGATGATGCCAACGAAGGAGATTTGTTAGTGGAGATGGAGGTCAGTGATAATTATATCAAGAAGTTTGCGGATCTGAATAGTCGCTGCGAAGAACGTATGCAGCCCAAATGGACAGATGCCGTGGAGAATGAGGCAACTTCTGTGATATCTGATGGAACTGTTAATAGCAGAACAGGTAGACGTAAATTTAAGTTGCCCACCTTAGAATTTAAGAAGTTTGATGGGAATATTAAAGATTGGTTGCCATTCTGGTCTCAGTTTCAAAAAGTGCATGATGATCCGGATATAGACTTGAACGATAAAGTTGAGTATTTGATTCAAGCTATGGTGCCGGGTAGTAGAGCTAGGCAGCTCGTCGACAGTTTTCCCGCTACAGGAAGTAACTATAGTAAAATGATTGACTGTCTTCTCTCTCGGTTCGGTCGTGAGGACTTGCAGATCGAAGTTTATGTTCGAGAGTTGCTCAAATTAGTTATAAATACCACTTCGTCTGGCAATAAAATAGACTTGTCTTTCTTGTATGACAAATTAGAGTCGCAGTTACGGGCATTAGAGACACTCGGCATTACATCCGATAAATATGCAGCCATGCTATTTCCTTTGGTCGAGTCATGTCTCCCGTCAGATTTACTAAGAGTTTGGCAACGTTTACCGGACAGCCACCTTTCGACAGGCGCCGCTTTAGAAGAGACCGCAGGTGTTTCTACAATAGAAAATCGTCTCAGAAGCCTCATGAAGTTTTTAAAGAATGAAGTCGACAATGAACAGCATGTTAATTTAGCAGTGGAGGGTTTCGATTTAAGCAATAGGAGAAATAAGGATTTTAGACGTGGAGAAAATAGATCAAAAAGACACGAAGAAGATTCTCCAAAACTTTATACTGCAACGGGCTTAATCAATTCCTCAGTAACAAATAAATGTCTTTTTTGTCAGAATTTGCATGAGAGTTCAAGTTGTTTTAAAGCTCAGAAACTAAGCTATGATCAGAGAAAAGATATTCTGACTGAAAAAGGGGCCTGTTTTCGTTGCCTTAAAATTGGACATCAGGCTCGTTGCTGTCGAGGTCGATTAAGATGTATCATTTGTGGCAAATCACACGTAGCTCTGATGTGTCTGGAGCTCTCAGCGAAACGACAGAATGATGGAAAATCCGATCAAAAGGACATTAAGGAAGAAGTTGTGACGGGAACCCATCAGGCACTTGCGAATAGTACGAATCAACACATTTTTCTGCAAACGCTCCGCGTAAAAATGGAAAACTCTCAGATAAAACGATACGTGCGCGCGTTGATAGATACGGGATCTCAAAAATCGTATATTTTAAAGTCCACAGCTGAATTTTTGAAGTACAGGTCCAAAAGACAGATTAACATTATTCATGGGTTGTTTGGCGGAAGTGAGTTATCTCAGAAGCACGACTGTTATGACGTCACAGTAAGCAACAACAGCTATAGTTGTACTTTTGAAGCTTTGGATCAACCCGTAATTTGCAACGAAGTTTCTGCTGTATTTCATGGTGTCTGGACGGAAGAACTTCGCTTGTTAAATATCCAGATATCGGATTCATATGACGATGCCCCTATAGAACTTTTAATAGGTTCCGATATTGCAGGAAAGCTGTACACAGGAAAACGATATGTTCTGAAATGCGGGCTGGTAGCCATCGAAACACTACTAGGCTGGACCATGATGGGCAAGATACCCCTGGAAAAACCTCAAAGCTTGTCTATGATTTCTGTTTCCCTTTTCGTTAACAATGCCTCGATTACTAATCTCTGGGAACTTGATGTTTTAGGTATAAACGATCCTGCTGAAAGAATGACTCGTGAGGAAACAGCGTTGGCAGCTAAAGAATTTTTCCTGGAAACCATCACAATCGACGTAGAAGGTCGGTATGAAGTTAGACTGCCGTGGTTAGAAGGACATCCGGCATTACCAAGCAACTATCAGATGGCTAAGAAGAGATTGGAGAATACTGTTAAGAAAGTTATTAATGACGGATATTTCGAAGCGTATGACCAGGTGTTTAAAGATTGGCTGAACGAAAATATTATCGAAGAAGTTTTCGAGATACAACCTACAAAGGTGGCTCACTACTTACCACATAGGCCGGTAATAAAACCCAGCAGCGCGACCACAAAAATAAGGCCTGTTTTTGACGCTTCAGCCAGAGAAAGAGACAGCCCCTCTTTGAATCAGTGCCTCGAGAAGGGTCTGAATTTGATTGAATTGATTCCTGATATCTTGCTAAGATTCAGGCGACAGAGAATTGGTGTAGTCTCAGACATTAGAAAAGCCTTTTTACAGATTAGCATACATGAGGCTGATAGAGACTTCCTTCGTTTTTTATGGTCTGACAGTGAGGGTAAACAAATAGTGTATCGCCATCGTCGTGTGGTGTTCGGAATCAACAGTAGTCCGTTTCTCTTAGGGGCCACAATAGAGTACCATTTGTCCAAGATGTTGAAGGAATCTGATTCCAAACCTTTTTCAAAGGATACCATCATGAAATTGTCAGATGGTTTTTACGTTGATAACTGCGTAACCAGTGTTGCAAATGACAAAGAGTTGAGAACATTTGTCGAAGAGGCTAGTATCGTAATGGCTGAAGGCAAGTTTGATTTAAGAGGGTGGGAGCACACTCATCAAGTCCAAGATGGCAATCTTGATATTTCCACTTCCGTGTTGGGAATGAAATGGAACAAAGAGAACGATACTTTAAGCCTAAACCAAGACGATAACACCACAGAGCAATTCGAAAATAAACTCGTGACTAAGAGGATGATGCTATCACAAGCTCAGAGAGTATTCGATCCTATTGGTTATACTTGTCCTACAACGCTAATACCAAAATTGTTGCTTCAAAAGACATGGGAAAAACAGCTTACTTGGGATACACCGGTCGACCCTATAATTGAAACACATTTTCGAAGGTGGATGGAGGAGTTGCCGTATTTATCAACTATTAGAATCCCTAGATGGATACATGCGGGCTCCGAAGAAGCAGACCAATGGGCCTTGCATACATTTTGTGACGCGAGCAAGGAAGCTTTCGCTGCAGTTGTTTTCTTAAGGGGAGTGCAGAATGGCGAGGTATTTGTACATATTTTGGCAGCCAAGGCGAGNCTTAAAAGTATGTTTTATGTATGTTTACATTAGAACCTTAGCTTGTAATTACAGTTATCCAATAAAATTTCTGAAAACTTAATGACATGTTTTTAACTCATACAGAGTATACAACAGTTTAATACATTTATTATTATAAAACTTATAACCAGTACTAGATGTTCTAATAACGATATGGAACACTTTAATAACAGTTATTGCTATTATTTCGTAAAGGGTATAAAAAACGTTGTATACTAGTTATACAATAATTTAATAAAGAATAAGGTTTATAGTCACTATACAACTGTGTTAGCAATACGCGTTTTATATCCGATATTCACCTGTTTAACTGTCACATATAGTATACAATGGTCTTATAATGGTATATAGAATTCTAATAAAGAATAAAACGCATTTCTTTCAGTGTGCCTTTTTTTCGGAGATCTCACCTGAATTCGACACCTCGCTTCGACACGCCCATTTCTTGGGTCCAGAAGTTTCTGTTCTTATCTTACTGACGGGAACCCTGAATATCAGGACGCTTTGGCATAACTATGCCATGTTAATAGTTGTCTAATTGACTGATTTTACAACTGTCTAAATAATTTTGAGATTAAACTTACAAATAACTCTACACCTTCCTCTTGTGACTCCGTATAGCAACATGGGGCGGATTAATCAATCTCATTTAATATATTTTTCTAGCTTGGAAAATCCGCCTAAAAACCAGCTATTTGATATATCTTTCTTTTCCAATTATTATTAATTTAACAACTTATTTAAATATCTTGGAATTCCTACTTGCTCTTTCGTATGCATTTCGCGCGTTATTAGAAATATCGATTTTTCTCTTTATATCAGATGCTCAACACATGGTCCCGACTGCCTAAGTGAACTTGTTAAAAAATACTGCTAAATTTCATGAAGCCTTCTCCGAAGGACGGCCTTGTGGCGACGCTAAACCTACTTGAAACCTTTAACATTTCGATAAATTAATGTGTGTAAACAGATGTAAATAAACAAGAAATAAAAATATGTTTTCCACAATCAATCCCACACGAAGGGTGCAAAATTGGTGACCCCGATGTGTCGAAAACTAACGGAACATTTTTGAACGAGAGACAGAAGACCGCAATAAGGAGCTGCAGTGGCAGCGACCATCTTCAGCTTGGAGAGTTCGGACGAAAACTAGAAGGACGGTGGAGGAGTAGGAGTCAGTTTCCGGTAATTATGTGTAAAATCAAGAGAGAGCGAGGAGCAAGGGATTCAAGAGGAGAAATAAGAATCAAGAAAAGGAACCGTGTTATTCGTGCTCATGAAGATCATCCAATGGGACGAATCAAATAGTTTCATCATCAAAATTACCTAAATTTTGGTTTAATAACCCAGAAATTGGGTTTTAACAAGTAGAGCCCAATTTGCTTTAAACAAGATTAAATCAGATAGGGTTAAATATGATAACATCATTGCTACATTACCTTTAGAAGTTGTGTCAATTTTTATTGATAGGTATATTGAAAACCCTTCAAATAATAATATTAATAATAATTTATACATATACAGGGTGTGCCATTTAACACTCCCGCTGTTAATATCTCCGAAATGAAGAAATTTATTTTAGTTCCGGAAATTGGGGTTGTTAGGTCCCTCGAATATCTTCAAATTGTAGTTAGAATTGTTAGTTCAAATCTTCCTGTATAGATGGCGTGGTGATACTAAACATTTTTTTGTTCCCTGGAACGTGGAAATACAGTCCATCTGAAAGATCATTAAATTTTGAATAATGTTTGTAATATAAAGTTTTTCCCTATACTTATTTACTTGTTTTCGAGATATGTCGACTTCAATACGCAATGTATGATATAACAGGAAAATTTTTATTATATTTAAATCACACTGAGACAAAATATTATTATAAAATATTGTTATAATAGTTTTATTCGCATCACATACTAACTAACCAACAATAAATTATATAAAAAACGAATGATCAACTACAGAAAAAAAATTGTACATTGGTAAATCTTATAAGGTGCAGAGACGAACCGTATTTTATCAAATGTTATTAAAAAATGCAGTCATAGGTGGCTCATGTTATTTGTTTAAAATATAACAATGACAGTTGACACATATTAGTTTTCTAATAATTACAGTTTTATCAGTTTGCGTCTTTCAATTTAAGTATACTAGTTATACGATTTACCATTGCATATTTTTTTTCTGTAGTTGATTATTTGTTTTTTTTTATAATTTATCATTTGTTAGTTAGTATGGTATGTGAATAAAGCCATTATAACAATATTTTAAAAGAATATTTTTTTCTCGGTGTGGTTTAAATAAAATAATAGATTTTCTTATTATATCATATATTGCATATTGAAGTCGACATATCTCGAAAACAAAGTAAATATAGGGAAAAACTTTATATTACAAAAATTGCTCAAAATTTAACGATCTTTAAGATGGACTGTATTTCCACGTTCCAGGGAACAACAAATTTTTAGTATCACCACGCCATCTATACAGAAAGATTTGAACTAACAGTTCTAACTCCAATTTGAAGCTATTCGAGGAACCTAAGCGGTCGATAGCCGCACGGTTTAAGGCGTCAGTACTTTAATCGATGTGTGCTATCTGCTTGGGTTTCGAATCCCGCGGCCGGTAGACCGTAGATTAGCTATGCTTGTACGGAGGATTGGCACCCTCTGTACAGGTATGGTAGGGTCTAAGAATGTTGGCTTGGGTCAATGTGAGAGATTGACATCGGTTGGCATTAATGAGGTTTTCCAGGTTTCCCTCATTCCTGCACTGAATGGTGGTTAGGGCCTACCAACATAAGTCGTTCCTGGGCGCAAATGCGGCCTGCGTAATAATAATATGCCGCCTCCTCTCCCGCACAAGTCTCCGACTTCTGGGCTAATTCTCGTAGTTAGAATGAGGAGTAGAGATATTATTATTATTATTATTATTATTATTATTATTATTATTATTATTATTTATTAATAACCCCAGTTTCCGAAACTAAAATAAATTTCTTCATTTCGGAGATATTGGCAGCGGGAGTGTTAAATGGCACACCCTGTATACAATATATAAATTTAAGGGAGAAAATCATTAATAGGCTAACTGCTAATGAGGAGCAGCGTTTAAATGTGCTATTATCAGGTTCAGAGAGAAGAAATAGAAAACCCTCTGATTTTTTTAGAGATATGCTGCAAAATAGTGTTTATTAAAATGTACGTTTTTTTGCGAGCATCCATCTAGATAACTTCAACCGAGTTGACTTTATAAATGCTTATTTATTAAATATTACCTACTTAGGTTTTCGTGGTATTCTTATTATCGGGGTTTACATTAGTCTTACAAGTATTTAAAATGCCCTATGTGAATAGCAATGTAGAAGTAATGGATATTGTTTTAATTTATGGTGATTCAATACAAAATGCATCAGTAGCTTCTCGCTCGTATGCAAAAAGAAAATTTTCCAGGTAGACAAGTGCCAAATGCTTCGATTTTCATCGTAGAATCGTGGAATTCGAAACATATTATATCAGACGATTAATACAATTTATTTTCTGTTTACGTTCAAGACAAATCTGCAGTATTTCAATCATCAGTATGGAGCATATTACATGAAGTATCTCTATCATGTACTATTTGTCTAATCAGTAGCCTTTAAGAGCTATCGACTCTTCTAAGGTTTTAAGCCTCACGCTTTTAGATATGTCTAAAGCATTTGATTCAATAGATTTTAGTTGCCTATTGGGCAATCTCTTTTTCTATGGAATTCATAATAAATATTCATGATTGGTTTGATTCCTATATTAAAGACATAATGCAACTTATTAGAATTAAAACTGAAAATGGTTCTTTATTTTCTGAACCTAAAATAATAAAATCTGGAGTGCCACAAGGCTCTGTCCTGGGGCCGTTACTTTTTAGTATATGTACTGCGGACTTTGTGTCGTCAGTAGTGCACACTACTTTGCACATGTATGCAGATGACTTACAAATTTTGTACAGCTTTGAAGTTGACAATAAACAAACTGCTGTTGATCTTATTAATTTTGACTTGCATCGGATTAATAGACCAGGCAATAAAGAACGATTTACCCCAAAATAACTAGATTTTCGCGGCCCGGTCCGATTTTAATGCGGTTTTTTGCATTATGTTCAGAAAGACCTTCGGAAAAAAGTCCCGCCCTTTTTATTATCCGGAAGTGGCGAAAATGCATCGCGGGTGCATAAAGTGCATCTAGAATATATCACTAACATCACACGTTATAATTTTCAATCCCCAAAATAATCATTATTCCATGTTACCTGTTCATGAATATTATAACCTCCCTCCTCCCCATCGCCCCCTCCACGAGCACAGGGGATATTTTTCACCCTCAGATTCGGAATCAGCACCCGCGAAAACCCTCGAGATACATTTTCCCAGTAATTTCGAGAACTTTACATTTCATAGCCCCCCCCCACCGCCCCCTCCACAAGCACACGGGATATTTTTCACCCTCGAATTCGGAATCAACACCCGCGAAAACCCCCGAGATCCATTTTTCTAGTCATTCGGAGAACCTTGCAATCCAAGTGCCCCCCGGGCCCCCAGGCGCCCGGAAGTCGCCCACCGGGGGGTCGGGCGGACTGGATATATGCATATTCGAATTATGCGTCCCCCAAAACCCCAGAGTGCCAATTTTTGCTGTATTTCGTGCACATTGGCAAGTTTCTCGAATGCGATGCACTTCTAGATGCACTTTATGCATCCGCGATGCATTTCCGCCACTTCCGGATAATACAAAAAGCGGGACTTTTTTCCGACGGTCTTTCTGAACAAAATGCAAGAAACCGCATTAAAATCGGACCGGGCCGCGAAAATCTAGTTATTTTTCTCTTTATTGCCTGGTCTATAAGGACTTATGCGATAAAAATGCTCTAATGCTTAACCCAAATAAATGTAAAAACCTGGTTATCGGTACTTATCAAAAAACTAGACAGTTGGGGGATTTTGCTAATTATATT